TTTTATTAAAACTATATTACTAGTTTAGAATATTATAATTTATAGAATAATAAATTTATAATTATTATATTTATAAATAATTTATATTTTATTAAAATAAATATTAAAATATCTTTTATTCCTTATTTATATTTGAAAGTCTCTAGAAAGATATTTTTATTAATTTTATTATATATTTATTTTAAGTAATAATTAATTAATTAATAAAGTTTTAATACTATATTCTTTATAATAGTACCTATAATATTAAGGAAGTTACTTATTTTTTTTAAGATTATATTTAGAAATTTTATAGATTTCTTAAATTTATTATATTTAATTAAAATTTTTAATTTATATTGATATTTTAAATATATATTCAAATTATATTTTAAAAATAAGATTATTTTTATTTATTACTTATTATTCTAAGATTAATAAATAAACTAAATATATAAATATTATTTTAAAATAATATTTATAAATTTATATTAATTATTTATAAAATAATTAGACTAAATAATTATTTATAGTAAAATTTACTACTAATAATATTAGTTTTTAAAATTACTAGATATTTCTTATTTTTTACTCTATATAATTTTAATTCTTATATAAGATTTAAATTTATTCTATTTAATTATTATTTATAAACTTATAAATAATATTTATTAATTTACTATAATTATAAAATAAATATAAGAATATTACTATATTATTATAATTATTATTTAAGCCTATTATAAATACTATATTAACTAGAAATATTATTTTACTAGATATTATATTAAAAATTAATTAATTTAATTAAATATTAAGAATATTATAACTCTATATTCCTAAAAAAAATTAGACTAGAAAAATCTAGGCCTCTTTCTTATTAAGAAGATTATTAATCCCTATATTTATAAACTAGACCTACTTAAGAGTATAAAAATATATCTAGTATTTTATATTAAATTATTATACCTAATTATTAAAAACTTATTATCTAGATAAAAGGAAATTAAATCCCTATATATTAAAATTAATAATATTAAGAAATAAAAAATTAAGAAAATAATTAATTTCTACTAGAATTATTATAATTAAAATAGCTACTTATATTTAAAATATATTATTAAGTAGATTAAATACCCTACTATTATAGAAATTCTTACTAGCTACTTAAAGAATATTACTAAATATATTACTATCTTTTATTATTATTATCCTAGGAAGCCTAGACTCTAGGAATACTTTACTAAAATTTAGCTTAAAAGAGGGGATACTATTATAGTATAATTATAGATATTTATATACTAGTATTTATACTAGTATATAATTTATAATAGAGACTTATTTAAAATTCCTAATCCTAACTATTATATAGCTCTTCAAGCTATATCCTTATCCTAACCTAATCCTAACCTGTTAGACCTGTACATAGATAGCCTGAATATACACCCTACTATTAGCTATACCTACTGGCAGCCTGCCCGCCGTGACATAGCTAGTATTAGTAGTAGTAATTTTCTAGTAACTAGAGATAGTTAATATATTTTTAAAAATCTTAAAATAAAATAAAGTTATAAAATAATATATTTTAGAATTTTATTAAAATATTCTAGGTTAAGAAAGATATTAAAAAATTATTAAATAATTTTTTTTCTAAAATAAGGTATTAAAATTTTATAAAATAAATATTAAAGTTTAATTTTTTTTTATCTCTAGCTATAAAGGTAGCTTTAAATATTTTAAACTTAATTAAACTCTCTAAATACTATTTTTAGGTAGTTAAGTAAATTAAGATAATTTAAAAACTAGAGAATATTAAATTTTATTTTAAGTAAGATTAATTTATAAGCCTTTTTAATTAGATATCTTATTATATAAGTTAGTTAGACTATAATAGCTAGAAAATAATTTAAATTAATATTTATTTTATTATAGATTTATTATATAAAGTAATAAAAATTAAAATAAATATTATTAAATTTTTATAAATTAAGGAGTTTCTTATTAAAATAAGTATTAAAAAAAATTAGTAAAAGTAAATATAAATACTTTTATTATATTAATTATTATAATTTTAATAAAGAGGGTATATTTAATAAGAGTAAGAATAATAATAAGAATAAGTATAATAAAGATAGTAATAATTTAAAATATAATAAATATATATTCTAACTTAATTAACTTTTATTAAATAATTTTTAATTATTCTTTCTAATATAGTATTATTCATTCCTTCTTAACTAGCTCTAGGCTAGCTTTATTAACTTAAATTTATAAAATATAGATTTCTTTTTCTAGAAAATTAATATAATTATTATAGGATTTAAAGTAAATAGTTTAAATAATAAAATTATTAATAATATAATTTATAAATTTCTTAATTTAATCTATAATTAAGAATAATTTAGATTATTATAATATATTAATAATAATTATACCTAGAGTAAAAACTATATAATATTATAGTAGGCAAGCTAGTAATAGATATAATTAATAATAAAATATATATTTAGGCTATTTATATATAGGTCTAATAGGTTAAGATTAGATTAAAATAAGAATATAGCTTAAAGAACTATATAATAATTAGGATTAGGAACTTTAAGTAAGTCTCTATTATAGATTATATACTAGTATTTATACTAGTATATAACTCTTAGTCTCTTATCTCTAGTATCTAGATATTTATAGCTATACTATAATAACTAATACCTAATCTTACCTTACTCTAGCTAGAAATAAAGGCTAATTTAATATATTTATATTTACTTATTTCTAGAACTATCTCTAAAACTATCTTTAAATAAAATAATTAATTAATTAGTAAGATTATAGAGGAGATAGTAAAATCTAATATAAAGAAATAATTAATTACTTTATTATAGATAATTTATATACTAATTAATTTAGAAAAATATTAAAAAAATATTTATATTTTAATTTATATAAAGACTTCTAAAATTATTTACTTAATATAGAAAGATTTTACTAATTTTAAAGCCTTCTAATAATAACTATATTTTAATAATTATAAATATTTTAAAAAAAAATATTTAAAAACTAGAATATATATTAAATTTAATATTAGAAATATAAAAATAATTAATTAGGTAATAATATAAAATTTTACTAATAAGAATATTAAATCTAGTAATAATATTATTACTTTAAAATAATTCTTAAAATTTATAAAAAATTAATATTAAAGTATTTATTTAAAAAAAGAGTAAGTAAAGTAAATATTAAAAAAAAATAAGAATAAAAATTCTAATTTTAATTTATATTATCTTTAAAAATACTTTTAAAAATATTTTAATAACTAGAATCTTATTTAAAGCTAGAAAAGTATCTAATCTAATTATTATAGTATTATTAAATACTAGATTATTAGATTCTAGTAATTTTATACTAGATATTAAGCTTATAAAGACTTATAAGATTAGAATTCTATAAATCTATATCTAAGCTATAAAATTCTTATAAAAAGATTACTAGATATAAGTAATATAAAATTAAATAAATAAGCTTAAAATTATTTAAATTTATAAATTTATATTATTATTAGAAAATATAAAGATTTTACTAGGAAAATAAGTATATAATTTAAAATTAAATATTAATAATAATATATTATAATTTTATACAAAATAGGTTATATATAAAAATTTCTAAAAATTAAATATAAATTTTAACTAAGTCTACTCTTTAGTAATAATAAATATCTTAATAAAGCTATTTTTTAATATAATTACATATTTTAATTTAAAGTAAGTATAATTTTATATAATAATTACCTATCTTAATATAATAATTTTAATATAATTACTTATTTTAATTTAAAGTAAGTATAATTTTATATAATAATTACCTATCTTAATATAATAATTAAGGATTACAAAATCTATATATATTAATTCACTAATTTTAATAAATAGTAAAATAATATAGTATACCTATTACTTTAAGCCTTATATAGATTATAATAGTTAGTATTTCTTTAATATAAGAAATTTAATAATATTTTAGTAAGAATAAGTATAAAAGTAATTAATAAAGACCTATATTTTTACTATAGCTTAAATTAGTAACTAATATTTATTATCTATATTAATAATATAATAATTACTAGCCTTAATAAGATAAATATTTAATAATTTATAAATAAGTTTAAAAAATATTTTAAATTAAAGTAGTTAAGTAAATTTATATAATTCTTAGAATATAATATTTATAAATTATAAAATAATATAATATTAATATTTTAATATATATATATTTAAAAGATACTTTATAAATAAAATTTTTATAATTTATAGCTATATAATATATTAATAAGTCTAGAATAGAAATTAATTAGAGAGATACTAGAATCTAGTAATATTATTCTAGATACTATATATATTACTCTAATTACTAGATATATAATAAAACCTAGTAATATTACTTAAGATACTATATATACCTCTATTAATAGAAATAATAATAATATTACTTATTATCAAGAACTTACTAGATTATTAAATTAGATTATTATTTAGACTTAACTAGATATTTAATATATAATAATATAATTACTTTAAACTTAATTATTACTAAATTTATTACATAAGATATAGTAATAAAGCTAGTTATATATATATTATTATTAAATTATAAGATTTTATAAAGAATATTATATTATTATATATTAATTTTACTAATATTATAATATTAATTAAGAAGCTAAATTATATATCTATACTATATTAAATAGATATTTAATATTTCTTTATAAAAGAAGTAATTAAAAATAGTAATATTTAGTTATAAATAGTTAGTAAAGAAAATAATATTATAAATAAGCTTATTAAGCTATTACTAACTATAAAATTTAATAAATTTATTAATAAGCTAGAATTTAGTATATTAAAGATAGACTCTAAATAGCTTTATATATATATTACTAAGGGGGGTATATGAAAGTACTAGATTTAGTAAATATTAATATTACTACTATTAAGTAAATAGCAACACGTGTGTCACATGACTCTGTATTTAGGCCACCATTTCTTTCTAGATCTTCATACTTCTTCCAAGCATCTCTCTCTCTCCTAGTTAGACCTAACGCAATTCATTTTGGTCAACATTCTACTGTCATGATTTGACAACCTCTCATGAGAAACTTGTGAACCGCAATATGGGGATATTGCGGTATGAGGGGATATGAGGCAGAATATGAGCGTCAGATGATATGGTGCTATAGTATAGAATGTTGGAGTGCTGGATTCAGTGACAGTCACCATTACTACCAAGTAAAGGCTTAGCGACACGTGACTTAGTATATTTACGCCACTATTTCTTTCTAGACCTATTAGTTTTGAGACTTTAATTCAAATATAATTTAGTTATCAGTTTTAATTTTATTTATTAGGTTATAACCGCCCCTTCCAACCTAGTCTCCAGGGTCATGCCTTGCGCGCCCCTGATAGCTTAATACTCATGATAGCTTAATATTTAGTTTTATATAGCTTTAATTTTAAAATAATCTAGTATATCTAAATTAAAATATATTCTAATATAAAATAAATATAAATAAATTTTTATATCTTTTATATTTTTCTAGATTTTTAATACCCTTTTAAAATAATTCCTTAATTTAAAATATAAGTAATAAATTCTTATATAATATTTAATTATTATTTTTATAATTTTAATAATTTCTTCTCTATATTATAATTCTTTTTTAACTACTTTATTTTAATTAAATTTTAACTAAATATAGTATTTCCTTACTATAAATAGGATCTTAAAGTCTTTATATACTTATAATAGGCCTATTCTACCTAGATATTATAGTGGGGCACCGCGGTGCCCACAGATATAGCCTAGCTGAGCGCTGCTCTGCTTAAGGATTTAAATATTATTATTATTTTCTTCTTTTAACTTCTCCTTTCTACTAATATCTAGGTTAGATTAATATTATTCTTTCCAAGCTTGGTCTAATAATTAACTACCTTTTTAGAATAATATTCTACCTATATCTCTATACTTTATTATAGCTTGCTTAAGATAATTAAATTATTATTCCCTTTATATATTAGAGGTAAATATAGGGGGTAATTAAAAGAAAAGTATTATATTAGAGTAGCAGGCTAATATTACTAGAATAGATTAGGAAATAGTTAAAGACTATAGATAAGAATAGAATTTTAGATAGGGTAGAAGTTTAGTAAGTAAAGTAAGTATAGGAGTATATATCTCTAATATAGCTAGATAAAGAAGTATATATTTAGAGTAGACTCTAAATTAAATAAATTATTAAATTTATTTAATAATAATATTATAAAGACATTACTAATATAGAATAAAATTTCCAATAAAAATATAATAATTAAAGAAATAATATAAATAAAAATAATTTTAATAATCATATAAAATATATATATTATTTTTTAAAAAATAAAAAATTATATTACTTATTAATTATATATTATATTTATAAATATATTATAAGTAATAAAAGAAATAAAAATAGTAAAAATAAAATAAAAATTTATTATTTTTAAGAAATTTAAAAATCTTAATAAAGAGATTTAGATAATATTTATATTAATAATATTTAGAATTATTAATACTCTAAAGTTTAAAAATAATAATATAATATAAATCTTTAAAATATTTAAATAAGTTTATATTAACTATAGAGTTGTGAATAATAAAAAAAAGATTTAATAATTTTTAAAGTACTATAGCTAGGAGGTATTTATAATAAAAATAAAAAATAAATATTAAAAAAAGGATTCTAATTAGCTAGAGTAAATAAAATAATATTTAAAGTAATTTAAAAATTTATTATATAATATTTATAAGAATAGAAAAAAATAAGAAACTAGAAAATTATTTAATATTTATAATTATTATAAGATTTACTAGATTAATTTTTTTAAGTATTAGAAAAAGAATTAATTAAAATTAAATAATTTTTAGAAATTTTAATATTTACTATAAAATTAACTATCTTAAAAATATTAGATATAAAAATTATATTTAGAAATAAAGAATAAGAAAATAAAATATTTAAATAAATTAAAAATTATATTTAAATTAATAATAACTACTTTTAAGGTATATATATATATAGTAAAGTAATAGTTTAAGAAAAAGACTATAATTAAAGACTTAAGTAAAGAGATTTAAGAATTTATAAAATTATTTTAAATATTATATATTTTTTTAAAATATTAGTTAATTAAATAAATAAATATATAAAGGAGGTACTAGTAATATCTTAATTAAGAAATAATATAATATCTAAATATAATAATTATTATTATTATAAAAAACTAGACTATTAAGTCCTATATTATCTTATATAAGTATAAGATATTAATAATAAATTATATTATTTTAATTCTACTATTAACTACTTATATATTAGGAAAATAGATGATCATAATTTATTTATTATTTTAAAAGAAGACTTTCTTATAATTAAAGTAATTAAAAAATAGTTTTAAAGATATTTAAAAAAAATATTATATACTTAAGTAAATCTAATATAAATAAAATCTAATTTAATTACTAGTATAAATAAAATAGAGATTATAGCTAGTAAAATTAAAGACTTTAATAAAAAATCTAATATTAAAGTAATTATTTAGATCTATAAAGTAAAATTATTAATAAGAATCTAAAAGCTCTTTAATAATAAATTATTAATAATTAAATTTATAAGATATAATTAGTATTAAATAATAAAAGAAGAGAAAAAAGAGAAAAAGATTAAATAAAAATAGCTTATAATAAAGAATAATAATAATAATAAAATAATAATAAAGATATTTATTATTCAAATAACTTATTTTAAAATTATAATAATAATTAAAAAATTATTTAACTAGTTAAAAAATAATATTCTTATTAATAAAATATTAAATAAAATTCTAAAATAAAAGATTAAAATTATAATAATAAAAGATTTACTAGAAATATTATAATATTTATATAAAAAGTTTTTTAAAAAAAATTATTTTAAACTTTAAATTATAAGAAAAATTAATAAATAATAATAAATATAATATTAATTATTATAATACTAGTAGAAATTAAATAAATTTTTTTTATTATATTAAAGAATTAATTATATATTGTCAGGGTGTAGAGTCGGATTTAGATATTTATTGATTAGGAGCTAACCAGACAGAATAGCAGAATAGTAGGTATCAGGTAATAGACAGGATATAGCTTGAAGAGCTATAATAGGATTAAGAATAATATAACTTAAATATAGGAATAAGAATAAATAGTCAAGGTAGAATCTAACTAGATAGGTACTATAGCTTTATACCATAATAATACCCCCCTTCTTAGGGTTAAGCTCTATTAAGACTAAGGAGGAAGTAGTTAGGGCTTCTTAAGATAATAAAGGTAGTAATTATTTATTAGTTAGTAAATATTTTTTAGATATTTAGCAGGCTCTTTAATTAACTTATTATATTTAATTTATTTAATAATATATTATAGCTTAGATTTACTATAATCTTAATAAACTTATTAAGAATTAAGAACTTTCTTAATTTCTTATTCTTTTAATTCTTTAACTTTAATAAATAATAGTAGATTAAGATATTAATTAAGTAGAGGATTATTAGTAATAGAATAAAATAAAAATATATTAAATATAAAATAAATTTTTATATTTTTAAGTAATTTAAGTTTATAAATATATAGATTAATAATTTTTTTAATATAATATAATTTAAAATTCTTCTAATCTAATTTCTTTTATAAGTAAAATATTTAAATATTATAGATATCTAGCTAGACTTCTTGCCCTATAATATAATAATATATAGATTATTTTTAGTAGTTAACTTATATTTTATAATAAATTTAAGTAAATAAAATCTTAATATAAATAAATTTATAAATTTTATATATAATATTAGTAAATTTCTTAGTATTTTTCTTAATAAAGTAGATAATAAGGTAGCTTAATTTAAATTTTAATATTAGGTAGAATTTATAATTAGTTATAAATAATAATATTCTTATAAATTTAAAGTAAATAAAATTAATAATAAATTTAATTATTAATAATTATTTAAATTAATTATTTTATAAATATAATAATATATATACTTATAAGTATTATTTTAAGATAGTATTAATATATTTAATTTAATTATTAATTTTAAAATAATAAATAATAAATAATAAATTATAAATTTTTAAATAAGATATTAAATATTTTTAAAAAATAATAATAAATTAGACTCTATAATCTAATATAATTATTTTAAGAATATTATAGAACTTCTAGATATATTTAAAATATAGATTAGCTATTTCTTTAGTATTAATTATTCTAGTATAAGGAAGGAAGTACTTTATCTTTATTAAATAATTAATTATAATTAGGATAGTATTATAATTATTACTTAATAATAAATATATAATAAAATCTATATTTATATTTTATTAAATATATTTAGAAATTAATAAAAATCTTAATACTTCTTACTTTATTTTTTAGGAAGAAATAATTTAGTAATAAAGATAATAATTCTAGATTTATTAATTAATATATTTATAAATCCTAGGCTAGAAATATTTATATAATATTAGTTTATATATCTTAATTTTTCTAAAATATTTAATAATAGGATTTTTATAATAAAGTCTTAATATTTTAATTTTTATTTTATTATAGTTAAGTATATAAAGTTAGTCTTAATATCTTAAGTATAAACTAGTATATTTATAGTTAGCTAGTATAATATTAGGGTATTTTAGTAAATTATTCTTTAAGATATTTAGAATAGACTAGAGCTTCTTATCTTAAGAGTAAGCTTTATTAAATAATAGTTATAATATTAATAGTAGGGAGATTAATTTATTAATAGTAAGTTATTTAATAAAGTATATTTAATATTAGCTATTAATATTTAATCTTAAATTAATAATAGTCTTAAGTAATAGGTTTTTAGATTTTAGGATAGTCTAATTCTAGTAAAGAAGTTATTTATTCCTTTTCTTAAATAAGTTCTCTAACCTCCTAATTTAGGCTTAGTACCTAACTTCTTAAAATAATAATATATTTAAAAATTAAATTTTAATAGAAATTTAAACTAGTAAGTTTATTAATAATTTAGTAATTTAATTAATATAAAATACTCTAAATTCTAGTAATTTATAATAATCTTTATAAATAATAAAGTTTTTTTTAATTTAGGATATTATTCTTTAAAATAATAAATAATAATTAATAATTTTTTATTATAAATCTTATAATTATATTCTATTATAAAATATTTTTTTAAAAAAAATATAATAGAGTATAATATATTTTTATTATTATATTATAATAATACTTTAGTAAA